CGCAAAGCGAGTGCGGCGATTGGGGCTGATCCGTATAGCGATCCCCAAAAAGGGATCGCTATACGGATTCTTCGTTAAACGGTGCGCTCGTTAAGCGAGGCACCACTGTACGAATATCCACCCCACAGATGCAGATAATGAGGGTCCGGCCCCCTGGGCCAGACTGACCACTCATGATTCCACTGCTGCCACGAGTGCCACGGAGCCTTGCTATTGCTCTGTTGCCTGTGATGGATTAGCCAGTCCTGGCAGAAGGCGGGATGACGAGCCTCTCTGCCAGGTGGAAGAGTGCTTAATCCATTGCAAGCAACAGAGAGATAGAAAGGCACCGCTGAGCTCGTGGCAGTGGCGGAATAGTGAGTAGTCATTCGTGAGAATGGCTGATGGTTGGATTCCAAAAGATCTCCTGTATGGAGAATGAGTGCAGGGAAATCGCTCCAGAGGGAGACCACAGCTGTGATATAAGGATGTCTGCAAGCGGGATCTGAAAGCCTTAGGAATGGACCTCAACAGATGGGAAACCTTGACTTCTCTGAGCGTTCAGCTGGGAGGCAGGTGGTGCATCACAGCCTCTCCCTTGTCCAGCAGGCCTAGGCAAAGAGGCAGTCACAAAAGCAGCAAAATCAGGGAGCTAAATGGGGTACAGATTGTATTTGTCTTCAGTGTGGAAGGGACAGTCACTCTCAAATTGGCCTTCTCAGCCACACTAGACGCTGTTCCAAGTCCTCCATACAGAGCATGTTATCATAGTCTGAAGGATGCCTAATTTAAAAGTCTGGCCCCAGGGGATGGACCCTCATTATCTGCCCCTGTGGGAGGGTATTTGTATACAAATACCCCCCCATCTCTACTCAGTACCTATGAGACTATTCTCATAATTTTCTTTTCTTTTTTTAGTGGAGGAAGTAGGTTTTTCTGGGGAGGGAAGTAGTTGTGTTGTTCTGTGGTAGCAAAAAACCAAAAAGTGTTGTGGCCCCTGAAGGATGAAGACCTGTCATTGGGCACAGGCTTTCATGGACTGCAAGCCTGCTTCATACATGCAGCGAAGCAGGCTGCAGAAGGTGGAAAACCTGTGTGAAATAGAATATGAAATTTCGGCTAGTCTTGGTGATCCACAAGACTGTTGGCTGTTCGGAAGGAAATAAGGTTTCCTTCCTCTCTAATGCTGACTCGCAGATTATTGGCATGCTGTGAAACTAGGATCGCTATGAGGATACCAGGAAGCGTACATTTTGGCATATTTCTCAGTCATCCATTCTGGCCCTTTCCAGGATTTTGACAGGTTGCACAATTCTATCCATTCCCGACCAAATTAAAATGGATCACTCCTTGGTAGGGAATTGTATCCTAAAAAATGGGTTCTTCTCTCTCTCTCTCTCTCTCTCTCTCTCTCTAAAAGCCTTTTGTAGCAACAGGAAGGAGGGAGCCATGATTTGCAATTTGAAGGGCAGGAATATGCCTTTTCCTCCTGGATTATTTGTATTTTACCTGCCCCCTGCTTTGTGTGCTGAGACAGAGCTGTAGTTTTTCAGGCCAGTTTTTCACAGTGTAGTAAATCTACAGAGGCTAATTCCTACGAAATGTTCACCGCTCAAAAATGTCAATAACAAGTTATACTGCACCTTACCTGGGAGCTTGAAGGATCACAGGTTTTTGAGACTAGCATTAGCGTGGCATGTTACATCTGGTGGAAGGAAAGCCGTATGTTTGTTGGTATTGTTATAATAATGCTGCATGTATTTCCATTTTCCAGGCCGAATACAGTCCTGAGGCTCCGCTTTAATCATTTTGCTACAGAATGCAGCTGGGACCACTTGTATGTATACGATGGTGATTCAATTTACGCTCCACTGCTGGCTGCTTTTAGGTAAGCCCCAAAGTATCGTGTGAAACTAATTGGTATTTCACATTTGTTTTATGGGATTCTTTTTCTTCTTTTTTTGAAGGGCAGATATTTTTGAAAAGGTGCAAGGGTCATGGCAGAGAGTAGCATCAGGGGTGCTGCTGCTAATAATGGGGTGGGGTTGTTGTTGTTGTTGCTTTTGGCCAAACCACAGTTTGACTCCATCTCTCCTATTTGCAGGGTTTTGTTGGAACAAAAAAGTTGTTCGAACAAGGCAGAAGCCCTAATTAGTAACTTCTGAAGAAGTAGCTGCATTAAATCTACCATGGTGTGTTGGCAAAAGAAAAGAAAAGAGAAAAGCCAAATTATTGCAGTAATTTGGAGAGCAAATAATTTTACTTCAGCGTGGGTTTTCATGGATCAAAATCTGGTTCCTCAGACTCCTGAAATATTCAGCCAGAGGGTTAAACAGGAGAAGGGAGGGGAGGGGAAAATAGGATTATTGTAACCACTGGTGAGATATAAGATATAGCCTAAAGTATTTCTGCATTTAAAATTTTATTTTTTTTTTAAAAAAAAATTGTGTGTGCTTTGAGTGGAAGTTTGAAGGTTTGGAGATGCTCAGTTCTGTTCTTATAACCAAGCCTTGGTAACAATTGGCTTTAAAAGTGCTTGTAAATGAAGCATAAATAGTGGTTAGATACCGTTCCACCCTGTTTTTCTGCAGGAGGGATAATTGATTCTCATTCTGCATGATGCAGCTTCCTTGTGGTGGAGCTGCTGGTGAGCGCTGTCCACTTGAATCAACAATTCTGGGTGCTGAACTAGTTGTTGGGGGTAGATGAGAAAAAACGCATTCAGACCCTTGTCTCGTTGTGAACTCTGCGTCTGTAATGCCTCAGAAGTCCCAAGACTTGGCTTCCATTCTTTCTGCTTAAAATAAACCTGCCGCCTTGCTTCCAATTAGGCATTTTTTTGAGGATGATCGAAGCAGTTACGCAGAAGCAATGCACCCATAATGATGAATTGGTACAGGAGGGCAGTCAGAATGGATAAGGACCGGTGATTGCACAATATGGGCCAGGCAGGCTTTTGTTAGATTTCCAACTAGTTTCTGCAGGATTTCTATCCTGTGGGATCCCAGTGTGATAAAGTTGCATCGTGTGAAGCTGTCCCTGAGGGTAGAGCCCAGGATGCAATGGATAAGCTGACCCTCCCTGTTGCTGCTGCCTTTCACACCTTCCGATGATAGCGACATCTCAGAGACATCCAAAGCCACCTCGCTAGAGGTAGGCACAAACCGCCAGTTCGTGTTGGTTCATTTCTGGTCCGAACAGGTATTTGGCACTTCCCAGCAGCCACAAAGTTAAAAGATGCCTGCTTCTTGAGAGGAAAGCAATGTCGAACATTGACAGCATCTTAAAAATGAGAGACCTTACCTTGCCAACAATGGTCCGCATAGTCAAAGCTATGGTTTTTTAGGTAGCGATGTATGGAAGTGAGAGCTGGACCATAAAGAATGCTGACTGCCGGAGAATGGATGCTTTTGAATTGTGGTGCTGGAGGAGACTCTTGAGAGTCCCCTGGACTGCAAGGAGAACAGACCTATCCATTCTGAAGGAAATCAACCCTGAGTCTTCACTGGAAGGACAGATCCTGAAGCTGAGGCTCCAAGACTTTGGTCATCTCATGAGAAGAGAAGACTCCCTGGAAAAGACGCTGATGTTAGAAAAATGTGAGGGCAAGAGGAGAAGGGGACGTCAGAGGATGAGATGGTTGGACAGGGTCATCGCAGCGACCAGCATGAATTTGACCCAACTCCGGGAGGCCGTGGAAGACAGGAGGGTCTGGCGTGCTCTGGTCCATGGGGTCCCGAAGAGTCGGACACGACTAAACAACTAAACAATACCCTCTTGAGAGTGGGCGCCTGCTGGAGGAGTCGGGGCTGGGAACTGCTGAACATTCTGTTCGGACGAGAAACGAGCTGGCATCAATGGGCAGTGGGTGTGCATCTCCACTCCTCACTGCTGCTTGTTTTAAGATGCTGCATTTTTAAGTGGTTTCAGGAATCTTAGCCAGCATGCTAATAAATCGATATCAGACCAATAGTTCTTGGCAGTCTTTAGGTTAATGCTCTTCGCACAATGATTTGTCTGTTAGCAACCACTCAAACACACTGGAGACGTTTTGGTAGGTCTCCAGTGTGACATGAGAACAAAATGCTTGTTGTTCATGGTTCTCCCTTGGTTGAACAGTTGGTCTCACTTTTCATTAAGCTGTGATAAAGCATGGCCATTACAGCCGCTCCCCTTGAGTGCTGTAAAAATATCATTAGTGCTTTTGGAACCTGAGCACCAGATGTGGTTAGCAGGACTATTTCTTTTATAAATAGCAGAGCCGTAACTGCACCTCTCTCTCTCCGTGTGCTTCTGAGTGGCTTATATCTGTTCTACAGGAGTTTTTGGTACTCTGATTTATGGAAGGGCTAACAGAGTTTACTGAATGCCCATCTCACTTGGCCTTTCTGTATTCTGAGCAAACAGTGCCCAAGAATTCTTTCAAGACATTTCCCCCTATTTGCAATCTCTTTTCATGACAGCTTTCTGTTCCTTGTGTAAGTGGCTAAATTCTGACTGCATTTAATGGAAGGGCTGCCATTTTTCATATGAATGAAAAACTAAAGTATAGGTGGACTGTGAAGCTGAGTAACACATTCCCACGTGACTGGGAAGAATTGTATGTCCGCTGAATATTTATAATAAGTGTGTGGTTCTGCTGCAGAGTGTGAGCCAGCGCTGAGATATCACAGGTTTGCTTGGTTGTGAGACTTTAAAGCAGTGTGGTTCGCACATGGATGGTGCTTCGAACAGAGTTTGGAGAGCTGGATGGAAAATTCCCTTTTGTTCGTGAAAGCTTCCCATTGGATGAAATCCTGTTGGTTGTAAAGTTACATGAGTGGAAACCAGATCGGGTGCTGAAAATAATTAATATAATTAATTGAAAGCTTCCTCCTTTCCTGTTTCAGCTTCTGAAGTTCCTGAGGGCTCCCCTTTGTCCCGAAGAAGCCCCGGGGGGGGGCTTGAGAAGAGGGGATGGGGGGAGCTTTTAATAGTCAGAAGTCGCTGAGTGGCCATCTGGTAGCAATTTTGGTTGTCAAAAGACTCTCCTTGTTTTGAAAAAGGATAGGATGCTTTCAATTAGTTGGAATAAATTATTCCCTACAACAGATCTGGTTTATGCCAATAAAACTTTCCTTAAAAGCATTTTGCCCACTGACCCTTCAAATGTTGTTACAAGATGCTCAATTTAAAAAGAGTGTCCCAAACCCAGAGGTAACATGAGGAACATATATTTTATGTTTTAAGCTTCCTCTTGGATTGTTTTTGTATGGTAAGAGGAAAAAAAATAAGTGTGTCAGCACCGCAGAATAATGTTCCTATTTTGTTATGTGGGTTACTATGGAGCCCGTTACCTTGGAGGCATTTTGTTGGGTAGCCCTTATCAGTCATGTTCTTAAGGGAAGGTGTTACCTTGGAGGCATTTTGTTGGCCCTTATCAGTCATGTTCTTAAGGGAAGGCAACAAGTCTGTATCTAAATATGTCAACATGGCCCTTGAGAATGTAACCCATTACAATGACAGGAAACAGCCAATTAAGACTTCCGCTTTACTGCCCTCCATAACAGCAAAACACACACAAGCAAACGAATGTAGTTCTGTGCTAGTTAACCCTACATACACCCCTTCCTTGTCTATTTTCAACAGGGAGAGAAGGACCCTACTCAAAGTCTCTGTGTTTAGTAGCCGGACATCTGCTAGGTCTTTGAGACTGGCTGAGAGTTGGGACGCCCCATTGCAAGCTGTATCTCAACTCTGAAATTCCTGGGGCTTTTGGCCTGTCCAGTCTGGGGAAATTTGGAGCATTCTGGGTTCCCACTTTAAAAAGGTTCTTGTCTTCAGCACGAGGTCTTTCCTCTCTCACTTGAACTATCCTTCCATTCACACTAGAGACTTTAGCGAGAAAGCTCCACACACATCTCTTTGGGTCACCCATTTACTCATGTGTAAGTGTATCCGGTTTAGTCATGAGTGTAAGGTTTACCTGGATTAATCGTGAGTAAGGCCACCATGGTGGAGCAGGTTTGGGGCAGTGTTACTTGCACAAAGGGAAAACATTGGGGTCCAGGTTGGTGAGATGGAGAGGAAACCCTCCTTTTCCTTCCTTTCTCCTTATCTCTGCTGAGGCTTCGCTGCCTCGTGGGGCCAGAGCCCATGGAGCTGAAATAGCCCCCTTCCTAGCCTTTCCTTTTATTTTGGTGTGTGTGAGTTAATTAAGTGGCATATTGAAACGCCATGGTGTTATAATTTCACTGCATCTGTTAGGGAAATATATATATATAAGGCCACCCACAGTTCCATTGAGGTGCCAAGCAACCATCCACACAGGCCAGACGACGGGAGAATAAGGAACGCCCCAAACCAAACAATAAACAGAAGGCCTCTAAGCCATGTACCAGAAAGGAGTGGAACAACTCTTAAAGGTTCAGAAGGGGTCGATTTTAGTAGAAGCCCATGTGGATTAACCCCAAACCATTGTAACCCCAAACCATTGCAACAACGATCCACAATGACGATCTGTATACCCATCTGGACAGGACCTAAGTCTAGCCCTTGCTTCTTGCCTCCCAGTGAGGCTGGCCCCATCCTTGCCATCCTTCCACAGCCAGGCAAAAGACCTTCCTCTTCAGGCACACTTTTCCTTAGTGACCTAGCAGAGGTTTTGAAAGGAGGTGGTTTGCATCTGTTTTAGTAATGGTGTACCTAATATTCTGAATGTAATGTTATTTACTGTATTTGTTTAATTTGAATAATTCACTGTCTATTCAGAGCACGTTACCATAGTCTCTCGAGGCTGAAGGATGCCTAATCTCACTGTTTTTAAAGCTTTGAAATTGTGTTTTAATGATATACGCCACCTTGGGTTTCTTTCTTAGGAGGAAGGTCAGGTACAATTATTTTAAGTAAATAATAAATATTAATATAAACCATAATAAGTGATGTGTATGTGTTCTCTGCTGTCAAGTCGGAATCCATGGCTGAGTGGGGCTTTGAACCCTGTTCTCCAGAGTCCTAGTCCATCACTCTATCCACTACACTGCACTGGGAAGCTTGTCATATATGTGATAAGGTAAAGGTAAAGGTTCCCCTTGACATTTCTTTATTTATTTATTTTATTTTATTTATATCCCACCTATCTGGTCAAGCGAGGACCACTCTAGGCGGCTAACAACCTTAAAAATAATACAGTAAACAATGTAAATAAACAGTTCTAAATCATAAAAACACTACATTACGATGCCAAAACACAAAACATAGAACAGTAAAAAAAGAAAAAAAAAGAGGTCATGAGTTATGTGATGGAAAGGCCTGCCGAAAAATCCAAGTTTTTAATTGCTTCTTAAAAGTACCCAGCGAGGGAGCCCCACGAATTTCATTTAGTCCAGTCGTGTCCGACTCTAGGGCGCGGTGCTCATCCACGTTTCCAAGCCGTAGAGCCAGTGTTTGTCCGAAGACAGTTTCCGTGGTGGTCACGTGGCCAGCGTGACTAGACACAGAACGCCATGACCTTCCCACCAAGGTGGTACCTATTTATCTACTCTCATTTTTACATGATTTTGAACAGCTAGGTTGGCAGGAGCTGGGACAAGCGACGGGAGCTCACTCCGATGCGTGGATTTCAACTGCTGGTCTTTCAACCTTGCAACCCAGAGGCTCCTGCGGTTTAACCCTCAGTGCCACCCTGTCCCCTATCATATGTGATAGGAGGTACAGTGGACCCTCAAAATAATCCATATTGGACCGGTGGCCACAGGTCAAAAAGTCCATAGGTCGAGGGTCCATTTCCCACAGGAATGCTTTGAAAACCCATTAATTCGTTACCAGCCGAAGAAAAAACACCCCCACACGCCAAAAAAAGAAAATAAATACAAAAAGGAGCACCTTACCGGTCTGAAGGGGTCGCTTGCCACTGCTGAAGTCCTCCGAGGGCTTCCCCGCCACTGGCAGAGGCCTCACGGGGGTCCCCGGCTGTCGCCGTCGTTGCTGCCGAAGCCCTCCAAGGGCCTCTCTGAGGTTGTCTGCTGCTGTCGCCGGCTTTCCCCTTGCAAATGTGCATAAACATGCTTCAGGTCCACACAGCCTCATCTTCTGCTGTTTTGGTCCCCTCACCTCCTTTTCCCTGTTCTTTGGAGAACATTCACATAAGCCTTCCTGGTGCAAGCTTTTCTGTGCCCCTGCAACCCAGGAATCAACACTCGAGCCATCAACTCCATTTCCTGAGCATTAGGCCAAAGGAATTGTGTGTGTGTCCTTGAAATATACAGGGGGGGCAGCCTAGCTGTCTTAACCCCTCCAGGGAACCTGACCTCCCCCATCCCTTGAAAAAATGTATAAAGATAAAAATACCAGTAGCATTTAATAATAACAACCACATGCTTTCAAGTCAATTCTGACTGATGGAGATTCTTTCTAGGATTTTCTAGGTGTAGATTACTCATAACTAGTTGACCATTCCTTTCTTCTGGGGACACGCTGGGAGCGCGTACTGTAGTTTATCCAAGGCTGGATGGGCTGGCTCTTCTGCCAGGAGGCAAAGTGGAGAATCAAACTCCCAAGGTGCTCCACCGCCATGAGCTTTCCAGCAAGCTAGGACATAAGGAATAACAGCAGTCCAGTTTTAGTAAATTCAGGTGTTGCCTTTCCTTATCTAGAATGCATAATTCTGCCTTTATATAACATGCATGTTGAACTGCAAATATCTTTCACATTCCAGTAGATGGAAGAGTAAACGTTGGTAAGCTGTAGGCATTCAGCTAAAGCAAGCCTCAAAAGTGTCCTTTCACTTAGTACAGAGATTGCTTAGCAAATATTGCTCTAGTTGGCACAAAACCACACAACATTGGATCATGCCTATAGTCTTGATTAACCATTTAAAATGGCAAGGCTCTTAGCAGATGACCAGTAGTAGCTTTGAAGTTTTTGCGGGAATGTTTTCTGATGCGTTATGAGTTTTTCCTTTGTCTTCTGCAACTTGAAGCATATCCTGTTGAGCTGTACTTGGAGAATATGAGAGGGAAGATACATATGATGGTCCATGCTTTCAATTAATGTGTACTGCTTCAGACCTCTCTTTTTTGAAAAGAGAGATGAGGGATTTAAATAGATGAGATAGAGACCAGCCTCTTTCAGCTGCTCTTGCGTGGCACACTTGTGATCTTCTTCCTGTCCTTTTGATTTAGGGTTAAGATTATGCACAGCTTAAAAGCATTATATACTCGTTCATCTCCGAGGACGAGAGGAGATTTTTGGCTTCCACTATAAAAAGCAAATGTGTAAACTGTATGAGGCACCACAGATAATAAAATCTTTGTGATGAGGGTTTTATTTGAGTGACAGAGGGATTAAATATTTCATGGCACATGTAAACTGTGTGTGCTGATAATGGCCCCGTCAAGGACTCCTTCAGTTTAACTGGCCAAAACCATCATGGGTTTGAATCTTGATTGCCAGCTTTGTATACGTGATCGGAATAGGTATCTCTTCAGGGCTTGCTTTGAAACCATGGTTTATGACCACAGCGTTTTGTTTCTTCCAGTGGCCTTATTGTTCCTGAGAAAGAGAACAACGAGACGATCCCAGAAGTGATGGCCACCTCCGGCTACGCTCTCCTGCATTTCTTCAGTGATGCAGCGTATAACTTGACAGGGTTTAACATAACCTACAAGTAAGTTGTAATGAAGGTTATAGTCTCTCTCTCTCTC